CCAGGGCCTTGGCTCTCCGTGACCTCGGTGAGCTCCAGCTCCAGGCTGACGCGCTCCGCCTCCTTCCGCCGGCACTCCTCCTCCAGCGCCTTCAGCTTCTCCTCCAGGGCCAGCTGCGCCTTCCTGCCTGGGAGCGAGGGGACGGGGAGACGCAGGGCTCAGGCTCCAGACCTGGGTCCCTCCTCTGACACTCACATCAGCCCTCAGAGGAGCTACGCCCGCGCCCCACCCCTGCCTTGGCTGCAGCTGGAAGAACGGCCCCCAGGGGGCCTCAGCGTGCTCATCTGTCACGTGGACCTTGCAGCTGATTCCTCTGCCACTGCCTCCTGAGCCCTCCGGCCCTCCATCAAACACCTCACTCCTCCACAGAGCATGGCACGCGTTTCTCCCGGGCACACGTGTTTCATTACTGCAACGTGTGGCAGTGACACAGGAAGGCTGGCACTGTACCCACAGGGCAGCTAAGAAAGTCGAATCCAAGGGTAACCTGAGTGTGTAGCCTGGGCCGGTGCACAGCACGTGGGGCTCTGCTTTGAGGCCAGAAGCGGGTCTCACCCTTCTGCGTCGTCACATTGGCTCCCACCCTCCGGCCCGGCACTGCACTCCGGCCTCCGCCTAGCAGTGATCTCGGTCCTGCCCAGCCAGCGCCCGCCTCCAGTCTTTACACGGCAAGAGCACTTTCATGCACGTCACGGAGGCGGTCAGCAAAGGCTCCAGCTCTGCGTAGCCGTGTGCCAGCCCCTCCCCCCCGCTCCCGCACACTGAGCTACCTGGAGGCAGGTGTCTCCCCGGCCTCCCTGGCTCTCTGCGCCCCCCTCCCCCCGGCCCCCGCTGTGCTGGGCCAGCCACACGGAGACCCGGGTCAGAGCTGCCCAGGTGAGACCAGCCTGGAGCTGAGGCCTGTGTGTCCGCAGTTCTGTCCCTCACCAGGCTCCCCCTGCCCCCACCCTGTGCCCACTCCTGCCGGCACGAACCAGCCAGCCTGGACCAGCACAGCGGCCTGCCACGCTCCCCAGGGCTGCCTTTACTCAGCTCCGCTCCGCTCTGTGGTTCCCCTGACCTGGCCTCACCCCATCCCGCCCAATACTCACATGCCCTCCCTCAGCGGGCTCTCCTCTGGGGTGCAGGGCTCCCTGTACCGTGCGGAGACCTCTCACCTGCCTCTGAACGTTACCTGTCCCTGTGGACTGTCCTCCTGCGAGGGACCCAATGCCTCGTGGACGCAGTGCCCACACACAGCCCTCAGGCTCCAGACAATCCCTGCCGGCGGGCCAGAGGCCGGACAGCTCCTCGCACCTGTCCCCCCTGCCTGTCCCGGGACTCCCGCACCCGGCACCCATCCCCCCTGCCTGTCCCGGGACTCCCGCACCGAGCACCTGTCCCCCCTGCCTGTCCCGGGACTCCCGCACCGAGCACCTGTCCCCCCTGCCTGTCCCGGGACTCCCGCACCGAGCACCTGTCCCCCCTGCCTGTCCCGGGACTCCCGCACCGAGCACCTGTCCCCCCTGCCTGTCCCGGGACTCCCGCACCGAGCACCTGTCCCCCCTGCCTGTCCCGGGACTCCCGCACC